CCGGTCGGTTTTTTTCCCATTTGCAAGGGGCAGGGATGCACTTCCTCTCGTTTACGGGCAACTCACTCTCTCACTCATCCTCTTCGCTTCTGTGAGTGGAGCTATAAAGCTTGGTGGTTTTAGTTTAATTTTATCCACCAAGCGAAAAAGTTAAAAAAACGCCGTTATCAGTATGTTCGTCTCAGTTGTAAACAGACGTATGTAGTGAACCCGAAACTGAGGAAGACAAAGAATACTTTCCGTGTCACTAGAACTTGATCGCTTGATGAAACAGTAAATTCTTGAAAAGAAGTATAAAGGAGTAAGGAGAATTCGATGGCGACCGTGGTTCTTATCTGTATCATAAAGGGACAAAAAGTATTATTAATCCCCCGGATGGCTGTTAATCCATCGCCAGGTTCAGTAACCCTCAGAAGTTTGGAAAAAAGGGGCAAGTCTACGCCGGGCAAGGTGACCCGTATCATACCACCCGATCTTATCCTGGTTACCGAAGTTTGAGTCGACCAGGAGCATTTCTACTCCCCCCTGGATGGGTTGCTAGTCCACCGCAGGGTTACCCCCAGCATTAAGTTGGCCGGTACCCATTTTTACACCTGGGTGGAGAGAGGCACTGTGAGAGTAAAGTGTGTTTCCCAACGACACAACATAGTGACTCTGACTAGGGCTCAGAACAGGACTGCTCGATCCGCAGCCCAGCGCGCTAACCATGAGGCCAATGCCACACCCACACAGGAATTTGTAAGGTTGTCGTATGAAAGTGGCAGTAACCTCCGTTTTTGTTCAAGAACAAAGTGAGACAAGCCAGGCTTGAAAAAGTGAGAAGTGATCGACACATTAACCGCTAAACCACCGCGGTTCTCGAAAAGTCAGGAATGGAGAAGAGGCGAAAAAGGTTGTGAGGTTGTTTGGGATCAGATAAAAAAAAGCGCCTTAAATCTGTTGGTAAAGAAGTCCATTTATTACCACGCTTTTTTAAAGAAGAGCCAATAATTTTTAAAATGATTTATATACTATAACACATACATCACGGACGGTTAAATTTTCTTGCGAAGAGTCTTAAGTGATGAAAAATGTTGTAAAAATTTCGATGGCATTACAACAAAATTTCTATGAGATGCTACATGCATCACTAACGCTTTGAACAAAGACTGTTCTGTCGCATATCATTCCCTTGTGTAAGATATGGACACATTATCAATATACAAGTAACAAAAATGTAATCTATAATGCAGTCTAGCATGAAAATCGCTATAAGCGAGTTAGAATACCACTAAAAAACTCATAACGTAAATTCAAAGCTTACAGCTCATGTGGCCTCTTGACAGAAGTGTTTGCTCAATTATAAGTCAATGCCTATTATAAGATAATTTCTGCACCGAATTGAAGATTTTCCCATAGAAAATATGCTCTTTTCAACTATATTTAATATATAGATGAATTTGTCCAAACAGGACTACTGTGGAAAATGAGAACTTCACTGGAAGAGGTTAGACACAGAAGGCTGTGTCTTGTTAAATAATTACAACAATCCCGTACCAAATTGATAAATATAGTTTCACTCCATCTATATTACTCGTATTTTTGAATCAATACAATTAAAATAATTCCCTAACATATAATTATAATATTTGCTCTAAAAAAGCAGTCACGCTTTCGCAATTTATTAAGATAATGTGAAAAACTTCTACTAAAGTTTAAAAAAATCTCCTCGTAAACGGTTTGTTCCAAGTCACTTAACCCATACCCTATTACCGTGCAAGCGGGATATTTGCAAACACAAATGTGATGAAGCTACTTGGAAGCAGTATATTGCTTATCCCTCGAGGCTTTGGAAGCGAAAAGCGCTTAAAGCTGCTAAAAGAAATTTCACGTCTTGTATAAAGCAGGCTAAGGAATGTTTTGCTTACAATGACAAGGGTCTTCGCAGTCTTTTCAGCCATAAGTCATTGCAAACACACACAGTGCAAATAGCTTCATTACATGTAACTATTAGTGGCATTCTAAATGGAAGTTAGATCACTGTTATTCATTGCCAAGAGAATCTTAATACTTCCATCTTCTTCTCGTGCTTCTACTTTCAATCTGCGCTATCTCGTATTCTCCATCTTCCTCTTCCTCAAGAGCAAACTGCACTGGACTATACTTCCGGTCTCTATACACCTGGAAAGATGACGTATTTCTGGTTCTCCATGACGCGACGGGAGGGCGCTGGGTTTCTCTTTCGATATTAATTTCCAATTCTGTCGTTTCGTGACGGTCCGGTACATCAATATCCAGTGTGGTTGTTTGAGGAGTTACTTCGAATTCACTTGCAGTAGTCTGTGGGGTGTAGCCGTAGTCGGATGTTTCACGTTGTCTTACACGAAGGTCATACTCTGTTGAATTACTCTGCTGGGTGAAGCTGTAGTCGGTCGTTTGTTGCTTCTGTGACGGCAAGTCAAATACTGTTGACGTAGTCTGTGGTGTAAAACTGTAGTCAAATGTCGTATGTGGTCTCACATTGATATCCAGTGTAGTTACTTGCGGTTTGACATCGATGTCCAGTGTTGTTACTTGCTGAGGTCTTTCCGTGACGTCTACACGAAGTGTCGACGTCTCTGTTTTGTCGTCCGAGCGATCTGACAGTTCTGCTTCTTCCAGTTGCTTCTTACACTGCTCATACGCTCTGTGACTGAGTATCAGATCATCTTGTAAACTCTGGATCTCGCTTTTCAGTTCTTCAATCGTATTCTGCAAATTACTAATCTGACTAGCCTTGCGTTCTCGATCCAGGTCCTGTGACCTACACTCCCGTCTCTGATCTTCAAGTTCTCGCTCCAGTCTCTCGAGACGAGTCTGCTTCGCCGTGACGTCATTGTTCGCATCGTTCAGCTTCCTCAAAGCATTTTGCAGATCGGTTTCGACTTTCCTGAGTTCAATTCTGGTGCTGCTTATTTCCTGAGAGATCTGCTCTTTTTCTATAGCTCTGGAATCGAACTCGCGCTCGACAATCAAGATTCGTTCCTTCGCTGTCCTTAATTCATACTCTAACCGCCGCTTCTCGTCCTCAGAGAGTTTGTTGGAGTCCTCGATCCTTCGTAGCTTGCTTCTACAATCATCGAGGTCAAACTCCAGATTCTGTTTCTCCTGAACCAATTTTTGTTTCTCGATCACGATGATCCTATGTTCCTCTTCAATCCTGGTGTACTTCTCCTTTATCACTGTGTATTCGTAGTAAATCTCTTCTTTTTCCCTCCTTGCCTTCCCTGCATCATCGGTGACTTCATCTTTTAACGCTACTTCAGCCTTGAGCCTTTCATTTTCTCGAGTAAGTTCACGGTTCTCTTCGGCAAGGTTGCGTTTTTCACTTCTGAAAGTCTGGATTTCGTCTTGTAAGTTCACTCTCTCCCTTTCCCACGACTCGCGCTCTCGCCCTCTTACGCCGGCGTCTCGTTTTAGTTTCTCTAACTCCAATTTAACGCGCCATAGGTCCTCTTGAAGTTCTGACTTGCTTGATTTTACCGCGGTAATCTCCTCCTTGAGGCTGCTCTTTTCACTCTCAAACGAATCGTATTCATATTTGCTCATGGACATTTCTCGCTTCAAACGCTCAATCTCGAGATTTGCCGCTCTCAGTTCTTCCTTGATTCTTCCGTTCTCTTCTTCGTAGTAATCTTTCTCCTTTTTCACAAGTGCTAACCTTTCGTTGGTATTTTCATAATCATCTTTGAGAAGGCGAAGCTCTTCTTCAGCCCGTGATTTATCTTTTCCTAAGTTGAAAACTTCTTCTCTGTAATTCTTTCGTTCTTCGGCCCAACTGTCTTTGTCATCCCTGCTGTATACTAGTTCTCTTTTCAGAGTGGAAACTTCAAAGTTAAGAGAGGTAATTTGACCGTTAAGTTCACTAATCAGAGTCTCTTTCTCGAACACTATTCGTTGATGTTCGTCATCAGCGCGGTCGTGCTCGAAGGTTTTAGCTGATAATTCAGCTTCGCTTTTATGCAGCCTCTCCAGGGCTTCCTCCAGTTCATCTCGCAGACGATTCTTCTCCAACGTAGAGTTATTGCCGCGGTCATCCAACTGCTCTTGTAAGTAATTTACTTCCTTGGTTTTGTCGTCCAGTAATCTCTGCAGTCGAATGTTCTCGTCATTGTTACTTTTAAGTTGGGTCATTTCACGACGCATGCCGAAGAGTTCATCTTCAAGAGCGCGAATTTTCTTCTGTGCTTCTTCCAGCTCTGAGTTCAGTCTGTTGTTGTCTTCTTGAGATTGTTCGTACATGGTTTCTGCTCTGCTCAGTTTTCTATGCAAATCTAAGATGTCGTCCTGAAGATCATCTGCTTTGTCCTTGGTGTCATCCTGCCTATCCTCCAGGTCCCTCAGTCTTTGTTTCAAAGAAGCGATCTCGTCTTGCAATGCGTTTTTCTCTTGGTGACAATACTGGTGCGCTATGACCATTTCGGAAGCCTTCTTATGTGTGTCCAACAGCTCTTTCTGAAGCCTCATTTTCTCGTCTTCGCTTTCTTTACAGAACCTTTCAAGCTCTCGGTATTTTTCAGTATTGGTTTGAAGTTCATTCCTTAGAAGCCTGACCTCCTCTTGGGCGGATTCTCGGTCCGGTCTACTTGAGAAACTACCATCTTGGAAACTACGAAGATCTTGTTTCAGAATATCGCTTTTTTTCTTGTACGTTTGTAACTCCATTTCTGTATCAGAAACTTTCTTTTTCAAGTATTCAAGCTCCTGTTCTAGCATTCCATTTTGAACTTCATTTGTTTCATTGTTATCTTGCAATGTGCAGACAAGATTATGCGTCGATATCATTTCATTTCGCATCTTTTCCTTCTCTTCTTCACTTGATTTTAACTTTCTCTTGTTTTCTTCCAATTCATCTCTGAGCATCTCCAGTTCATGGCCGATTGTGTCTTTTTCTCTTGTAATGTCCTCGTGAGATCTCTCCTTCTCAAACAGTTCCCTCCTGATAGTGTCCACCTCATCCGTGAGAAGTGACTTTTGTCTCTGAATGTTGTCTAAAGCGGCCGCTTTATCTTCAGCTTCTCGGCTTGCTTCAGAAACCTTCCTTTCTAGCTCCTTTAGTTGTTTCTTCAAGCTGTTGACATCATCACGATCTGAGAAACTCGTGTTCCTCAAATCATCCATTTGGGAAAGCAATTCCTCCTTTTCTCTCTTACTGTTGTTGAGATCTCGCTCCAAAGTTGAGATATTATCCCTTAGCACCGCAAGTTCATTCTGCTGTTCTGATTTCTCAAGTTGTCCAAATATGTGAACCTCTTCTGCGTCCTTCATTCGCTGTTCAGCTGCCTTTGCTTCTTCTCCCCAGCTGTTTGCCTTTTCCTCCAAACTCTCACAAGTTGCCTCCAACTCGTTGATCTTTCCCTGAGCGTCAAGAATTTCCACTTGTAAGTCGTCATTCTTTTCTTCCAAGTCTCGTACAGCATTTTGTGCCTCCTCCAAAAGCTCTTTCTTTGCTTGAAGATCGTATTCTAACTCTGTGACTCTCTTGTGAGATTCAAGAATTTCCCGTTCCAGATCTATCTCTCTTTCACGAATTCTGTTATATGAACACTCAAGCAGCGCAAGCTTCTTTTCCACATTTAACACTTCCCTGTTCGAGTCATTTTTTTGACTTTCACACAATTCGTACCTTGCCTCAAGGGAAACCAACTTCCTTTCCGAATCACTGGCGTCTTCCTGTAGCCTTTCCTTTGCCAGTTTAACCTGTTCATAAGACACCTCTAACTCGCTCAGCCTCTTTTTGGCACTTTCAAGCTCAAAGGTTTTTCTAGTATTATCGAGACGAAATGTTTGAATTTCCGCTTGGAGCTCATTAAGTTCTCTCGTCATCGCAGAAAGGTGTTCCTCTGCCTTAGCTTTCCCGGTGGCCATATCTTCGTGTGCAGATTTCAAGGCATCCAGTTCTCTTTTGACTTTAGACAGTTGGCTTTCCAGCTCATCTTTTTCTTTCTTTACAGAGTCCTCCGCAGGTCCAAAATCCATGTCTGGAGTTGCAGCCTCAAGAAGTTGGGAATTAAGACCTTCTTTTTCTTGCCTAAGCATCTCGCAGATCAGCTGTGACTCCTGATATGAAGTCTCGAGCTGCAGTATTTCGCTGTTTAATCTGTCGCATTCGCGTGAGTTTACTTCAGCGGCCGACTCCACGTCTGCTAAGCGCTCTCGGCTCGCTTCTAACTGATGCTTCAAGTCTTTGTTTTCGTGTCCAAGTTTCTCCGAGTAAAACTTCGCACTTGCGAGATCCCTTCTCAGATTTTCAACTTCGTTTTCGAGATTCTTCTTTGACGACTGAAGTGTCTCGATGACAGCTGTTTTACTTTCATTGTCCCTGTGTTTAGTGTCGCTTTGCTGTTGCTGTTCTGTTAGCTTCCTCTGATGTCTTGTCAACTCAGACTTGAGATTGTCAATCTTGAGCTTTGCTTCCTGTAATTGGCTTTCCAGTAGAGTCCTTTCCTTGATTTCTTTTTGTAGTTTACGATCACTCGTCGTTAACTTATTCTTATACGTGTTAATGTCTTGTTGCAATTGGCTCTTCACAGACTGACTTGTTTGGTAAGCGACCTCAAAGTCAGTTGCTTTCTTGAAAGCATCCAGGAGATCTTTCTGTTGTTGAGACTCCTTCTCAAGACTTGCACTCAAGGCTATTTCCAGTTGTGAGACTTTCTGTTCCGCATTGAAAAGATCATCGTTGAGGACCTTTACCTTTCCCTCTGTGACGCCACTGAAGGCTTCCAATCTTGTAATCTTGTTCTTAGCTACAATCAGCTCTTGATCGAGAGCTGTTATTTTCTTGTGAGAATCGATGAATTCTGTTTGAAGTTCCTTGTCTTTCTGTTCCAGATAAGCCACCGTGTGCTCCAGCTCATCCACCTTCCTCTGCAGGCCGCTGACTTCTCCTTGTAAAGAGGCCTTTCTTGTGTCACAGTCTCGGTATTCAAGCTCGGTTTTCGACAGTTTGTTATTAAGATCGATTATTTCCTTGTCCTTTTCTTCCTTTTGAGACAAAATCATTTTATAATCCACTTGCAAAGTGGCCAATGAGCTGTTCATTGACGAGACTTCCTCAGTAGATTTGTCTTTCTCTCGAAGAATGTTAGTTATCCTGCTTTGTAAGTCTGTGCTCTGCTGCTTCACAACTGTCAACTCGCCTTCAATTTTAGTTTTCTCTCGCTGTACGCCATCTAGCACAATCTTCATCTCCGAGGTATCTCGTTTGAGTGCGATGCACTCCTCCTTCAGCTTGTCTTTATCTTCAGCAACACTACTGTATCTCTCTTCCACGTATATGAGTTTCTGCTGCAGTGTTGCAAGCTCAAGTTGTTGGTTCTCCTGCTCTCGTTGCACGGCCTGATATCTTTCTCTAATGTCCGCCTCGATTTCTTTGGAAGATAACACATCTTTCTTCAAATTCTCGTTTTCATTTCTGAGACGTTCTGCGGTTTCCTCAAAGTCTGTTACACTTGCTTCTCGAATGTCTAACTCTGTTTGCAGGTTCCTTATTTCGTCTTGAGCATGTTGATATTTTTCCTTCTCGTTGGACAGTTCCTCTGACAAAGACTTCAATTCTTGATCCAATGTATTCACTTCCAACTGCAAAGAACCAATTTTGTTGTCTTTATCCTCGCTGCTGCTTCTACACGTTTCAAAACTGGCCTCTTTCTCATTCAGCTGCCTTTGCAACTCAGCAACGTCATCTTTAGTCTTTGTTGCTCGAGACTGTGTGTCTTCCAGCTCGTGTCTTAGACTCGCCAAGTCTTTCAGTGCTCGATATAATTCCTCTTGAAGATTGGTAGCCTTCTCTTGCTTTTCTGCTAGTTCTTTGTTTAACTCCTCGTTCTCTTCCTGAGCTGCAACAAGACGAAGCTCAAACTCCGAACCTTGCTTCAAAGCATCGAACAATTCCTTATCAGCTGCATCTTTCCGTTGTTGAAGAATATCTATACTTGACCTGATCCTGGCATTTTCCTCTTGTAGACTACTGGCATCCGCTTTCAAAGTCCTGTTCTCTGCTTTGAACATCTCAATCGTTTCGTCCTTGTTTGCGAAGTCTCTGCTGTGAGACTCCAGAAGCAGGTTTTGTTCCTGCACTTTACGTTGAAGACGAATAAGTTCACTGTTATTGTCGCTGCCTTTTGATGTAAATATATTCACCTGTTGTTCCAAACTATCCTTGATCTTTTCAATTCGCTGAAGTTGTGTTTCAAGGGCGTAAACTTTATTCCTGCTTGCCTGAGCCTCGGATCTCAAATTCACGAGTTCTTCACGATCTTCCTCGCGTGATGTCCTCATGTCTTCCAGCTCGGCCTGAAGGGATTGAACTTCCCGCTCCAGATCAACACGATCCTCTTGACTGGTCTGGTAACCAGATTCCAGGCTTGAAATTTGCGACTTCAAAACTATATTATTTCGGTGAGCATCCTTCTCTCTCTGTTCAAGATCCACCATCTTGTTTTCCATGTCACTGAGTTTACTCCTCAGAGAATCCGAGTCGCCTTCCAATCTTGTAACAGTTTCTCTGGTCACCTTCAAGGAGCCCTCTGCCTCGGCTAGCTGCATTAATGCAGAGCCTAGGCTAGAGTCCAGCTCCTTCCTCTTTGTCATCAACGAATCATTCTCCCTTTCCTTCTCTTTAAGGGCGTTCTGAAGACGTTCCATTTCGTCTTCGAATATTCGCTTGGCTTCTCTTAATTGCCCAATCGATCCTTCTCTTGCGTCGAGGGTCTCCTTGAACACGTCACACTGGCCAGTCAGCTCGGTTACCTGTCTCTGAAATGACACGAAACTATTTTTGTAGTTCAGGGCGGTTTGCTTGTACTCCTCGAGCTGATGTTCAAGAACCTCTTTGGCTTCTTGAGACTCATCCAGTTGGTTTTTCAGTACAAAGAGATCATCTTTACATGTACTTGCTTCGTCTCGAGCTCGGTCTTTCTCTGCTACAGTTTTTCGAAGCTTTGACTCCAGTTCAGTTGTCTTTTTGTGCAGTTGAAAGTTTTCGCGTTGAAATCGACTTATCTCTTGCTGCAGACGTTCGACTTCTTCCTTTCCAGACACAGCGTTCTGTTTCAAATTATCTCTTTGCCCTTCAAGAAACATTTTGCTGTTCTTCAGCTGTCGGATAACTTCTTCTTTGTCGTCTACTTCCTTGTTCGCCATGTCAAGAAGAATCTTCTGCTCTGCGACTTTTTGTTCTAAACTGAGAGCTTTGTCTAAAGCTGCAGAGACTTGGCTATTGGCATCTTCTAGTTGAGCACTGAGTGAACTACGTTCATTGTATTCATAACCGTACTTGTATTCCAGGTCTGCTAACTTGCTCTGTGTTAAAATCAATTCTTGTCTTACTTCCTTCCTTTCTCTGTCACTCTTCCTAAATAGTTCATCGAGATCTCGCACTTTCCTTCCTAGAATTTCGTTTTCACGTTTGATTTCATTGCTTTGTTGCTTTGACAACTTGCATTCTGATTCCAATGCTAAGATCTTGTTGCTGGAACTTTGGAGCTCATGCTTTAGATCGCTTTCGGACTGAGCACATTTAACGAGCAAACTTTCGAAATTCAAACACTTTGAGTTGGATTGCTGCAGATCCTTTTCCAAGGCGTATTTCCCCTTCTCTAAGTCAGCCACCAAGTCCTCTAATCGTGAAACATCATCTTTGAACCGCTTAAGTTCATGATCGGAATCTTTCATATCTTTCTCAATTGCTTCATTCTTTGATTTACTTTCCTCATATTCCGACCGAATGTCAGCCAGTTCGCTTTCTACCGCTGCTTTCACAGCTCTGAGTTCCTCAATTTGAGAATCCATCGCTCGGTTTTCATTTGTAAGTTGTTCGATGATCCTCTGGTTTTCTTGCAGTTCTTTCTGTGATCTCGATCCGTCTTCAGACTGTTTGGTCAGCTTTCTTACAGTCTCGTCCAAACTCGACCTAAGTCTGTCTTTTTCTCGCTGTAAACTCTTCATTCGATTCTCTTGCTCCAAATTCTTTTGCACGGCGATGTTCAATTCCCGCTCCATCTCATCCCGAGAATCACGAAGTTCTTGAAGGTCGTTTTGTGTCTTTTCCTCCTTGCTCTCGTATTCCATTAATTTGAAACTCAAGTCCTCCTGTGCACCTTGCAGACTCGCGCAGGATACTTTTATCGTCATTCCTTCTTGTCGAAGTGTTTCTAACTCCGTTACTAATTCAGCAATTCTTTCGTTCAATTCCTCAATTGTCTTCTCTTTCTTCGCAAGAGCCTTTTTCAACGACTCGGCAACTCCTTGTTGCTCTTTCAGTTGGCTGGCAATTCTCATATTTTCCTCTTTTAGGTCAACGTTCTTGTCCCTTGAATCACTCAGCTGCTCCTTCAAATTCGTCCTCTGTGTTTCAAGGGCGTTAATTGTCGACTCCATCTGTGTCAGTTTGTTGCGCACGGTGAAAAGGTCCTCCTCTAAAGACTCCTTCTTTCCTCGAAGGCTTGAGATTTCTTCCTCGTGCTCTGCAGCGTCTTTCTCCAAGACTGCAATCTGCTGTTTGAGATCCAGCTGTTCACTTTTTGCGGTATCAAGCTGAATGGAATAGCTTGTGTTTTTCTCCTGCGCTCCTCGTAACTCCTCTCTTACGTCATCCAGTTCTTTTCTTGCCTCTTCATAATGTGACTCCATTACGGAGACCTTCCTTCGTAACGAATTCAGCTCGGTTTCGAGGTGTGCGATCTTGTTCTTACACGTGTTAAGTTCCTTGTCAGTCTGCATCGTTCGCTCTTCATTTTTCTTCAAAACAGATTCCAATGTTGCTACCTTCTTTCGGTTTGCTTGCAGTTCTGTATCGATCTGTTCCTTTTTGCGTTGGGCAGTCTCCCACAATGGCTTCATCCTTATTACTTCGTCGCTTGTTTCTCTCCACTTGTCCTGCAACTTTCGTCTGTCGTTCTCCAGTTGCCAAAGTTGTTCCTTCTTCTTTGTTACCTCCGAGTTCAGATAATCATTTTCAGTCGTGAGTGTAGTTATCTTAATCTTGTACTCCTCGATAACCCTTTCTTTCTCAAACAACTCGCTTGAAAACTCGCTGAATGACTTCTGGTTCTCTTCCAAGCGAACTTTGACCACTGCCAATTCCTCAACTGCCTTCTTATTTGAAACGTTCAGATCTCCCGAGTGATACTCTAGGCTCGCTTTCTCCCTTTGTGTCTGTCCTAAAACGACCTCTAGGTTGTTCACTTTCTGTTCCAGAACCATAACCTGGCGCTGTGCGTCCATTTTGTCGTGCTCACACGTTTGATAGGAACCCTGCAGCTCTGCAAGTCTCTTGTAAAACGAGTGAATCTCTTCCTCGAGTCGTTGCTTCTCGTGTTCACAAAGCTTATACATGGCTTCAAGTTCCTGGAACTTTTCTTGGTTTTGCAAGAGCTCTTCCTGAAGATCACGTTTACTTTGTTGAAGTAGATCATTCTCAGTCTGCTGCTTCGCGAGCGCTTCACCAGTTTGCCCTAACGTCGACTCTAACGAAGAGCACTTTCCTCGCAGCTCTGTAATGGTGCTGTCCTTGTTCGCTGTATCTTTCCTTAAGACGTCCAGGCTTCTTTGACAGTCATACAACTGACTTTGCACAGTTCCTAGCTCATCTTTGCACTTCAGCAGCTTTGCTCTGACATCTTCCAGCTGATCTTTGTACTGCACCTTTTGCTTCTGTGCTTGACTTAGCTGACTTTCAAGCTTTGTTGTCCGGTGTCGAGTGCTGTCCAGTTGTCTCTCCAAATCATCATTTTCTTCTTCGTTTCTTTGGATGGTTTGTCTAAGCTCGGACACTTTCCTTTCTGCGTGTGTCAGCTGTTGTTTAAGATCTTCTTTCTCACGCTCACTGCACTCGTACGCTGATTCTATCTCGGATAAGCTTCTGTGAGCTGCATCCAGCTTTTCCTCCAAATCGTCAATCTGTGCAAACTTGAACCCGTGATCTGCTTCAAGCTGGGACGCTTTGTTCTTGATTATGGACAGCTCTTCTTCTAGATCACCTATAACCTTACGAGCTGCGTTCAGCTGAATTTCCAGATCTTTCACTTTTTCCTGAGCCTTAGCGTATGAGTCCTCTACAGTGGTAAGCTTGCTTGTAACTCGGTACAGATCCTTTTGAATCTCTTCTTTCTCCGATCGCAGTGAGGTCAGAGCATATTCAAGCTCTGTTATTTTATCACTAGCTGACTGCAAATCCCCTTCTAAGATATCTCTCTTCTGCTTCACGGCTTGGCCCGTCATCTCATTCTGTCCGAGCTCCACTCTCATCTGCTCCATCTTCCTCTGTAAGGCGTTTTTCTCATCTTCCAACTTGTCTATCTGATGACTTTTTGCCAAGAGCTCTTTTCTATATGCATCACATCTCTGCTGGTGTTGAATGAATTCTTTCTGCAGATGTGTGTATTCGTCCTTAGTTTTTCTTAACTCGTCACGAACGTCTTCCAGCTGCTCTTTCAGCGAGTCTCTCTGCTTGAGAACCACTTGCACCTGTGACTCGAACTTGCTCACCTTAAGATGATTTGTGCGGATTTCATTCTGGCGGTCCTTTTGACTTTTATTAAACTCGTTTTCAACTTCATTGACCATCCTTTGAGCGCTTCTCAGTTCCTTCTCCAGACTCTTATGTTCTTGTTGCAGCATCTTGTAAGCACTCTCCCATTCCTGGACTTTGTCTTTTGCTAGACGCATTTCCTGCATCAGCTCATACCTCTCCATGTCAAAGGACTCCACGTTGGAAGCGGTGTTTACCAACTGGACTTGAACGCTCTCGAGTTCCTTCTCGATGGTTTCTTTCTCCTGGCGGATCCTTTTGTTCAGTGCTTCTTTAGAGTGAATATTTTTGTAATATCCTTCTGAGTCCCTTTGCAGTTCTTGAAGTTTTGTTTCTGTTTTGTGAAGTTCGTCCTGGTACCTTCGCGCTGCATCCCTGGTCTCTTCCAGTAGTTGCTGCATTTGTTGTTTCTGCTTTGACAAACTCTCCACTTGGCTTTCAAGCTTTGTAATCTTAACACGATCCGCCTCCCTCCTAGACTCGCCATCGTTCTTCGTAACCTTGTACAAGTTTTCCAGTTCTGCTAGCTTCTTCCTTGTGTCCAGTATTTCTCTTGCCAACTCGTCTTTTTTGTCTTCAGAATTCTCAAACGCGCCCTCAAGTTTGCCTTTGGTATCCTGATGGATGAAAAGCTCTTTTTCAAGCTGATTAATTGTGTTCTTACAGCCTTCTAATTCGTGGTGAAGTCTTCTTTCTTGATCTTGTAGTCTTCCATAAGCCCTTTCCAATTCCGAGCTCTTCGCCTCTAGTGAAACAATTTCCTTTTGAAGCTCCAGGTTCTTCTGTCGCAAAGAGTCGCGGTCTTCTTCCAGTTCTTTCATCTGCGAATTTGTGCCCGAAAGTTGATTTTGAAGTAATTCAACCTCAACTTCGATTGCTCTTGACTCAGAAACATAACTTGTGGAATATTCCCCGGAATCCTTAAGAGCAGAGTCCAACTCCCTTTTCAGAGACATATTTTCTCTTTTCAGTTGCTGGAGAAAACTTTCCTTCATCTCGCTTTCTTTTGTTAATCGTTCAATCTTTCTGGCGCCGTCGTCAACCTCTCTTTCTAATTTACTCAAGTCCGCTTTGCACTTCTCAATCTCTAACGTCTTAGTTTTAGAGATCTCATCGTTCCTCCTTAGTTCCTGAACTTCGCTTTCAAGCACACTTATCTTGGTCCTCAATACCATAGTGTCCTGCTGTGAGGACCGTTTGTCGCTCTCCTGATTCGACTCGTATCTGGAAATGTTCCTCTGGGCTGCCAGCAGTTCCTGTTGCAATCTTTCCTTGTCATGCTGGATCTTATCACACATTTCTTTCCACTGGGCGTTGTTGTCTTTCATTGAATTCAATTCTTGTTGAAGTTTTTCTTGTTCTTGCTTCAGACGTCCACAGTCTTTTTCGACCTCGGAGTTTGACTGTCGTTCAGAGGCCAGTTCATTTCGCAGGTTCCCTTTCTCCCGCTGACATGCGGCGAGCTCTTTATTCAGTGTTTCAAAGTCTTGCTTGAATCGCTGAATTTCAGCCTCCAGGAGCTCTTTTTCGTCTCTAAGCTGATACAATGTCTTGTCTTTCTTGTGAATCTCTGAGCTCAGTTCGTCAAACTTCTTCTGGTGATCTTGCCATTCAAATTCTCTTCGTTTCCCGTCATCTGAAACATTCAACAAACGTCTGTTGGCCTCCTCTAACTTCTCTATCAGGCTTTGCTTCTCACTTACAGTTCGTTGAAGTTGTTGCTCCACTTTGTTAAATCGGTTCTCTAGAGCTTTCATGTCGCGTTGAACATCTGCCTTTTCCTGTCTTTGCAGCTCGATTTTAGCTTCAAACTCACCCAGCCGCTTGTGCGATGAAAGAACTTCCTGCTGCAGTTGTGCCTTCTGCTGTTGGCAGCTTTCCTGTGCGTTTTTCAACTGAGTAATTTTTGTGTTCGCTGGTAGTAATTCTTGCTGTAGCTGTAGCTTCTCTTTTTGACAGCTGTCATAAGCGCTCTCTAGCTTAGACAACTTCTTCTGAGCAATCAGCAAGTCATTTTCAAGACTCAGTTTCATTTGCTCAAGAGAATCTTCAACTACGTCGATTCTAGAATGTTTCTGTTGGTGTTCTTGTAATTCACGATGTAGTCTTTCGTTCTTTTGTCGGCAGTCTTCGTAGGTGGCTTGTAATTCGGCAAATCTTCGTTCCGAGGCGAGTAGCTTCTCTTGCAAATTCTCTCTTTCTCGGCCAACTTCCGTCTGCGTTACTTGTACAGCGGTGCGCATCGACTTGAACTTATCGATTTCAACCTCGCTAGCTTCCAGTCTCTCTCGCAGCTGGCGGACAAGATTATCTTTGGCAGCAATCTCTCGTATGTGGTTCTCGTTCGACAGGTACTGTTCTCGAAACTGAATTTTTAGTTTGGACAATTCTTCTCTCTCTGCTTGACTACGTGAATCAAATTCTTGAACCCTATGCTTTTCCATTTCTCTTTGCCTTCTCTCGTTTTCCAATTCCGCTTCAAGTTTGGAGATTTTACTTCTTGACGAAGTCAAGTCGTGCTGGAATTTTCTTTGCTCCTGTAAATATTTGTCGCTCTCCGCTCGGCTAGCTGCCAGATCACTTTTAAGTGTTTCAACTTCAATCTCCAAAGTTGCTTTTGCAGTTTTAAGTCTCTGTATCAGAGTTTCTTTTGATGATATTTCATTCTTCTGAATTTCATGGTGTCTTTGATGTTGGAGAAGCTGGGTTTGCATATTTTTGAATTCCTGAATTAATTGTTCCCTCTCAGCTTGCAGCTGATACTTCTGCGACACCACAGCTTTCTTCAAGCGTTCTTCAACCTCCGACATTTTACTTCCAAGCTCGATCACGTAATTCTCGTCAATGTTCGACATTTCGCCGTGTCTCGGACTCGTTGCCGAAGCAAGTCGATGCGATTCTCGTGCGCTAAGCCCGTCGCTTCGGCTCCCACCTTCCAAACTGCGTATAATTTCCTCATAATGCGAAGCAGTGTTTATCAATTCCTGCAACGTTTGCTTGTCTTTAGAGACACTTTCCATAGTAAACACTAACCCGTCTCTACCCTTGACTGTTTCTGTTCGCTCACTGACCAAGCGTTCACTCGAGTGGCTTTCTTGCTGCAGTTTTACCTGGCTTTCTAACCAGTTCTTGTCAACACGCACCACGGAGAGCTCTGCTTGCACACCGCTGAGCCTATCGAGCGTTTGCAGTCGTTCATTTTGGGTCGCCTCCAGTGTTTCTTGCAATTTGTCATTTTCTTGATGCAACCTGCTGATCGTGGCGTCTTTCGCTTCAAGCTCTCCTCTCGCGCGTGCGTACTGTTGGTGCACCTGTTCAATGTTTTGATGTGCGCTGGTGAGTCCTTCCTTCAGTTGTTTAACAGCAATGTCTTTGCTCTGTACCGCGCTGTGAAGCTCTTGAACTTCATTTTCACGATAAAAACGCTCTGTTGTTACCGATCTCGTCTCTTTTGTCTCGCGTACAGCTTTTACTTCCTCGCGAAGGAGTTGAATAACACTTTCCTTCGACTCAACGGCCGCCTTCAACTCTAGGTTTTCAATTTCTAATCGTAAGTTATTTACTTTTTCTCTACGTCTGTTGTCCTCCATTATACACAGAGATCTCAATTTGCTCGAGATGGCCCTGGAAAAATATACAACACAACTAGTCAACTATACAAAAAATCTAAACGATTTTGCTCAACTTTGTAAGGGATAGGTGGAAAAAAATAGTTATTCTTAATGCGTATTTTAGCTTGCGATTACGGAATCGAGAGGAAAGCCACTAATTATTCCGAAAATAAACCGCATGTTTTGAGTTTTCATAAAAGTCGAAAGCGTCTGGGATTTTCGATGCAGGGGTATTGTTTACACGCTGAAAATTCCTTGAATAAAGTGATAGTATTTCTTACGATTGAGTTTTACACAAAAAAGAAAAATCTTTGAGCCTTTTGTTTTATAGTACGCTTACAGGTGTATTTTCCATGGTATTTAACATTTTCTCAAGTCAGAAAAAAAAATGCTCCAAGTTATTCATGACCATTTAAAATTTAGGTTCCATTCTTTAGGTCTGCTAAATAAATCAATATTTGCACTGTTGACGAGAATAATTATGTGATGTGCCAGGTTAGATAAAATATAATAGAATTAATAGACCTGTTTTACAGATATTAAGAACATAATTTAACTTAATTTAATATGCGAAATAAATGAAACAATGCAAATATTACCGAGTGTTATTTTCCTTCACTGTAAGTTTTAAATCGAGTTAACACCTTTATACGCGCGAGAGCGAAGAAATATTCCGTTGTTATCGCACGAACTCGACCGAGATAAATTCTGGTATCAGTTTCAAGCAAGTCAGAGACGGCCGGTGGCTGGTTGAGGTATTCACCTTAAGACTATATGATACGCGTTTTTATCTCGCATTAAGTCTGCTTATTTCTAGTTTCAGCTTATATTGAACATCAAAACGAGACGTAAAATATATTCAGGCTTGAAATCTGCAATGAACTGTGAGATATGAGACTTATAAGGCGGGAAATAAGCTCTTTCTTGCTGCTATATACCCTCAATAAAGTGTATTTCATACACAACAACGAGAAACGGCAACATAGTATATCTAAGCCTAACGTAGTTATTTAAGAATAAAGATAAAAAAATTTACCGTCAAAGTTGGATGTATCAATTGATTTCAAAACTGATGCTAATATTTTCCAGTTAAATGCAATTACCGATCAATTAACAATAAAATTACCAGCTCTGGACTTTGGACAGGAAGATATTTGGCACTATAATTAGATTGTGTCAGGCAAAAACTGAAAATGAATGATAAACTAGAAGAATAATTATTTCAAGAAAAGATGTTTTTTTCCAACAGACTCTGTTGTGGGTTGTAGCAAATGGTTTGATGCTAGAAAACCCAGCGAATGCCAAAAAGAAATGTGTAAAAGAACACGCACCTTACCAAGCCTATTCCGTAGGAAAGCTTTTCCTGTGTCACATAGCAACATTAGTACAGAGACATCTTCAACGATGCTAACTTGTCAACTTCCCTTCGGATAGAAATTGAAGTGCGGAACTACGGCATGAAATAAATTTCAATATTTCTATCTTTGTCAGGTCTTATCGACCGCAAGGTAAATACAATCAGCGGAAAAACCTCTCGCCGAATCACCGCGCTTTTCTCTGGCGACTGGTGGATTTGCTAATGAAGCAACCGACCAATCAGCGTGCAGTATTTTCCCGCGTTATTTACAAACAGCTCTATTCAGTAAGAGAACGAGAAGGCGAAACAAACTCAATTATAATAAAGTTGTACAATTAGCTTAACACAACGGCCAGAAACTTTGATTCTAGTTTTGTTTCGTTTCCTTTTAATCCTTCAGATCTGCATAACAAGACAAGCTATTTATTCCTGGAAATCTCTCCAAAAATTTAAAAGCTCTGCTGAAACTACTTAATTACAAAGCAAGTTATGATTTAAATTATTGTTTACACAAAAGTATTATTTGCCCAGCATCAGGTCGAGGCTGAAATCATTTTGTGAACTCTGTTTAACGAACGACATTGCACCGAATAAAAAGTACCCTTACTGAGGGGCGTAAATAGGGGTATGCCAATCCTCCGATCCATGCCTTTTTTGCGCCAAATCCGTCGATCCGCCAATATTTTTGTTCAAATCCGAAACCAAAATCACATCCGGAAACAGAAGTGTAAAAGTTCAAAGGTATACTGGTAAATGTGAATGCCAGTGCTAATTTCGCACAAATAGTAAAGAAGGCAACATGCTTGATGACTACAACACAGTTCAATTCCAATAAAAGTCTCACACCTGAGTTTAAATGAGCTTCGTTCGTTTTTTTGGTCGAAAAACGTACCGACCAAGGCTGAAGAAAGATCTATGATCCAAATTTCGTTTAGGACCCAAGATTCGAACATCAAGACAGGCACAATCCGGAATCCGCGCCAAAATTCACAGCTGATCCACGATCCACTGTGTTTTCAAATCCGCGAATCCACTCGATTTACCGCAAAAATCCACAATCCGTGCGCTTTTTAAGGCCAAATCCGTCGATCCGAAAACGTATTCACACCCCTCCTTACTAAACATGTTTAACATAAAAAATTTTCGGTATTTACCTGCTCGTTCCGTTTTCTCCCGTGGTGCATTTAGATATATTTTTTCACATCTATGTATGTTTCGTGTTCCGATATACTAGGCTTCTATGTTAGCTAGCAGTTTTGTATCGCAAAATACTTCAATACCTGTCTAAAATGTAGAGTTATCTCGCAGATACCGTCACAGAAACACAAGCTCAGTACTTAGGTATCTTGCCACGCACAATTTCTTACAGGAAGTAAATAAGACTTGTATTGTTGGTTGATTTACGGTCTTTGCAGATAAAGTACTCGCCAATTAGAATCTGAAAATCTCGCGAAACCAAATTTTTTCACGAAAAAGGAAAAAAATCGAAATGTTCAGATAGTTTTCACCTCAGAGCCGGTGAATAGCGGGAATATTTAGTTTACGTGTAATACCTTCACCGGTTTGAATAATTTAAAATATTTCCTGATCATCTGTACTTGGGAGGCTGCAGATATTATGAAAATAACTTCCAGTTGTAAAAACAATTTTTATTGCATGTTTAAAGCTGGAAAATTTGAATTTTTGTGTGGCCGCATTTTGAAAAAGATGTTTTTTCGTGATCGGGAATAAGACACTTTCTTTCATCATAAGTTATCAAACGCGCAGTAGAATATCAGAGTAAAACAGACGAGTATTGACGAGATAACTGAAACTGGAATTTTCCTTAAAAGCAAACGTTGGTACAGAATATTTCTGGCGATACAAATTATACTATGGCACTATACACATAAACCATTCACCCAATTTTTTTTTCTTTCAAAGAAATCAATGTTTATACTCGGGTGTTGTAAACGCAATTCTGGAAAAATGAAATTTTGAAGGCTGTGCTATATTTTGCTCTCAGTGACCGGGCGAATATTGCATCCGACACAGTACATCTCTTGTAAACCCGACCAATCGATTTCCTTATCGAGGGAGAAGAACATAGGATTGTAAACAGGAACCCTCTACAGGAAGGCATAAACACCGTTTATATAGCTTTTTGACAGCTAGCAATGGTCACTTTATAGCTATGCTTTAACAACTAATTGTATACTGAATTATCAGTTTCAAAGGCAAAATCAAATTCTATAATGGCTTGGTTCGTTGGCAAATATTGGCTTTCATGTCAGAAGTTCTTGAATGCTATTGGCTTAGTTTGAAAAGCTGTTAAATAAAACACGGGCAAAAATGATCACTATTATTTTCGTATTCCAAGTTACATGTCTACTAAAAATTAAAGATTTAAATTAACGAAAGGCGGCCCTTCGATGCTCGATTTACAATTAACGAAGAAAATCTTAATTTTGATACGATTCTCAGGGAAATTCTCGCCACACAATAAGCTCAAAAGAAATATTTCCCCATTGAGAAAATATTGAATAATTAAAACACGCGACATGATATCATATCGAAATTATACATGCAAAATGATAGGCATTTCACGGGATTAAAACGAAACGAAAAGTGAGCATTGCTAAGCTGCAAAATTCAGAATTTCAAGCGGAATATTTACCTGTTTTGGCTGCGTGTGAACATGACCACCCGTGGGCAAAATCCACAACTGTTCTTTTGTCATAATGAGTGTTTTCAAGCATAAATCAAGACGAAGATTTCCATATACTTCTTTACAGCTTCATTTGAATAAATCGTTTTAACGAAAGCAAAGATCTGCGCATTCTCGGCGCATAAAAATAACCGGCACGATTTTCTCTGCGAAAGGCGACGCAACCTGCTGCAGCCTAATTCAACACTGCGGTAAGAAATGCTCACGTGATACAGGAAATTTGAAGGTTGCCATGGCAATATCAGTAGAGGGATATATTACAAGACAATGGGCTTGTACAATGTGCAACATGCTTGAAGGAGATATCAAAGAAAAAAGCAACAACATTGGTGGCAAACATACTGCTCGCTTATGTCTGGAAGTCAAACTGATTGCTGGTTGTGGCAATATATATATACCATGATTTGTGTTTCGAATAACATTGACCTCTTACTAATAACCAAGCGCGACGGCCGTTATTGTACGGACCTCGCTGCGCCGCCCAGTCCGTGCTGCCACGTCCTGGAGCCAGTATTGAACGGTACGGCTCGATCAAGCTAGGTTAGTAAGTAGTTTATTAGATAGCATTCGCGTCAAGCTGCCAATTTTAAATTTCCTTTCGGAAGAAAAAAATACACGGTTTATGACCGTTTCCATGGACACGGTCCGTATGGCGAAATCCCGACCAAGTAAGAGCCAATTAGAACGCTCGGATTTACCTCAAGACTATACTTGCCATATAATGATGTGATATAATAATGTGAGTTAATTAGAATAAAGTTTCTCGTCATATAATTCTGCGTCATTAGCATCAAAATGTTGATTTGGCTTAGGGTCAAAATATCTGATTGTTTAATTTAAGAAATCTGTCTAAATCAATAAATGGAATATTGAATTTAACAAATCTCGTGACTTTCATATCAGTGTTGTGTTAAAACTGTCACTGGGTTTCGAGGCCGCGTAAATAAGACATGTACCATTTCAGAGCGATATCTTTTGCCTCCTTGGCGACCCAGAGGCAGTTATTTAGTACGGGATGAGGTAAACACGGAAAAAACAAAGCGATTGTTGCCGGGTGTACCTCCTTCTGTTCCAGATAACTGTCCCTTGGTCTCCGAGGATGAATCCTTCGAAGATTGATCATTTCCTATAGTTTAAATTGTACTATGACTACAGCGCTTTTTCTTGAATGGCTGCTGATTATAATTTCTTTTGTAAGTATTACAACTTAGTCTGACTAACCTCGGTTTTGAGTTGATAATTCAAAAGAATTTTTACTCTCAAACGAGGTCTGCAAAAACAATTTTAGATTGGAAGCCATTTATGATAAGGGTCCATGCGGTGGGAGGCGCGGTGGCCTCATGGTTAGTGCGTTTGACTCCGGATCGAGCGGTCCTGGTTCGAGCCCTGGCTAGGGACATTGTGTTTTGTTCTTGTGCAAGACACTTTACTCTCACAGTGCCTCTCTCCACCCAGGTGTATAAATGGGTACCGGCGAATTGAATGCTGGGGGGTGACCCTGCGATGGACTAGCATCCCATCCAGGGGGGAGTAGAAATACTCCTAGTCGCGTCATGCTACTGAAACCGGGATAAGCTCCGGCCTGATGAGCCACTTGGCTCGTATATATACAGACTTTACCTATGCTGTTTAGGGATATAAAAAAAGAAAATTCTTAATGTAGAAGTCCTTTCTTCCGCAAGTCTCGTCAACTAATTACTTTAAATTTTAATATACCAAATGTGGGTTAGTTACTGTTTGAGTCTACGGTTGGCCCACATTCTTGACTACAGAGTTTGCAAGGCAACTCACACAGCAAGCTAGGAGTATTTTTGGAATGTGCTCGTCCTGTTTTGTGATAACGCGATTTTCTTCGTCTTCATCCGAAGTACGATTGGCGGCGACAAACTCGACTGACCACCTTCCCGGAGTTCTATCGCAGCTTCTGATTGGATAAAGAGTATTGAATTGAAAATAGATTAAAGTGCCATGTAAATAATTATGTGTTTTTGCAATAAAAAAAAAACAAAAAGAATCGGAAACCCTTCGGCGACTCTACGACGACTTTGCGCAGAATACACGGATTGAAAAAAACAAACGCTTGTTGCCCTAGTCTTAAGCCACGTCTACGCTACACCAGAAAAATTTGAAAACGGGGCTTTCACTCTGAAAACGCATCAAATGTTTTCCGGAAACACTACAGTGGAGGAATTTAAAAACGCAACAATCACCGGTCATTTTGGATTTGTGTTTGAGCAAACCTCGGTCGGGGAAGTCACATGATTATTGTAATGTTATCGTTTTCGAAAAGCTACGTTTTCAAAATATTTTCCGTTCACACTAAAGCGCAAAGCCGGCGTTTTCAAATTCCTCTGGTTTGAAAAGCGTTTTCGAAAAGCTCCGTTTTCGTGACGGAGTAGTGTGGACGGAAGGCCTAACCGTAGAAATAAAGCTGCGTTTTTAAATTTCTCCGGCGAAGTGTGGACGAGGTCCAATGCTTGTGTTTCTTTCAAGGTTTCTGGGCTTTTTTGCATGACAATCAAATTCATACATTATCATATATATTAAGTTATGAACAGATACTGGCAGGGATCTGAGAAAATCTTCTGGTTGTTAATATTTAGCGACGCTTTTTCAAGGATTAAAGGTAAGAGTTAAGATGTATCAGATGCGTCAAGTGAAAGAGATCCCTAATTACCAGAAGGACACTTCATTGGCTGTAACATGGCGTGGTGGGTTACCACAAGTGACGCCTGATAAATTAATAAACAAGTGGAAGGCTTTTAACTCTTCTTAATTTTGTTTTAAATACCACGAATGACAACAAAAGAAGGGCTGAACGTGTAAAAAAACACTTTGATCATTAAATTTTATATTTAATAGTAAAAAAAAAATTCAGGACTTTGCAAGCAGACCCCAGAAAACTCGAAAGATAACATGTCTGAATTTATTTATATAGGAATTCTGTTAAATGTTTCACATTAATAATGAAAAAGAGTTGTGTATTACGAATATTTGAATGTCACATATGAAAATATTTTGACAAAAATAAGAAATAATTTTTCGGTTTCTCTTATGGAATTTATAAACGTTATAAGGAAATCCTCGATGGAACCACTGAAGGTAGACAAATGTTTCAACAGTGTTTCCTTTTCAAAAGTTAATTAGCAACTTCCATTGACTTTCAGACTGTCTTTCTCTTGGCATTATCAACAATATTCAACGCTTCTTTAAGCCAAGACACTTCTGTTTCCGATACAAGCAACTTTCTTCTAATTTCTGTGAATTTCCCACTCTTTTTCTCTAAACTGTTCCTTAAATGTCGGTTCTCTTCAGTCAATGCCAGCATTGTATCATGTAAATCGTTGTAATTTCGCTTAAACTCTTGAAGCGCAAGATTTTGACTCTGGCTTAGATTCCGGGCTTCTTCAAGATCTTTCTGAGTGGCAGCAAGAACGAAAGACAACTCAGAAAACTTTCCCTGGCTGTTGAGGTTTTCTCTGAAAATTTCATTTAATTCATGACAGAGGACCAGAAGATGTTCGCTTTTTGTCGGATCCTCCTTTGAGTGATTCCTTTCATCGCTTGCGGTTTTGTTGCTGCATTCTGTAAGCTCTTCCCGAAGTTCATTCACAAGGCCTTTATAAGACGCAACTTCGTTTTCTAATGTCTGAATGCGACTTTTTCTTTCGACGTCAAGCTTTTCCCAGTTTTCCAAAGCGTTTTTCAATTCGCGGACTTCTCTCCAATACTCTTCCATTTCAGACTTGAGTTGTTTGCGAATTCTGTCTTTGTCTTGTTCGCTTTTCTCGGTTTTCTTTGTCAACAGTTCCATTTCATTGATCGCTTCAACCGCTTGATCGCTAGCGTTGTTTGCCTCCTCTCTCAGCTTACACAACTCGCTCTGATATTTACTGACAACACTTCTCAAATTTTCCACCTCCTCCCAAGACTTTTCATTCTCTTCTTTATAAGCGTCAATCATACTTTCCAGCTCTTCAATTCGCCTAGTTTTCTCAAATTCATGTTCTTCCATAAATTCAATTTTCTCCTTTAAAATGCTCAATTCAGTTTGGTGTGTTTCAGCCTCAGACTTAAGCTCTTCCTCCAGTTTAAATCTCTCAAAAACTTCCTCTTCTAACCTGGATTTAAACATTGCCAACTGATTTTGCATGGAAGATAAATCTTTGCGAGTTATATAAAGTTCTGATTCAAACTCTTCACGTTCAGTTACTCGCCCACAACTGTCACACCGTGCTTGCGAATTTTCTTCACAATTCAACTTCGTTTCTCCATTAATCATATCCGTTGTGTTTACTTCGCTTTCATTTTCTGTGTTTACATGAGATGTAAATCGGTTTGATTGTTCTGTTTTCGTATCACCATTCGTGTTAACATAAGTAGGCTCGCTTTCTTCGGCATTTGAATTAAATTCTACACAATGTGGAAAACCGTGAGAGTTTCCATTCACCAAATGTACCGCCTTGTCTTCATTAAAGGTATCAGCCATGTTAAATTTCGTTTTTTCGGTCTCGACCATGACACTTCCAGGAACAGCTTCACAAAATGGTAGTAGTTTCTCTGGAGTCTTAATTCTAATGATTTCTCGGACATTTTTGCTCCCAGCTGGAGGGGAAGCCAACCTTATCGTAATGTGTGTCATGTTGTTTCACTCCTTCAATCGCTTTCCTCCTCAAACATACGAACAACACAGCACGCAGTACAGAACACAATTCAACTCTTGGCCGTCCTTGGCTGAAATCCAACGTTTTCATCCTCTTTAATGCAAAGAGCGGCTTGAAATTAAAAAATAACCTGCAAACATAAGTCTGCAAATCAATTTGAATTTCAAGTAGTTTTAATGTGAGCGAACACAATCTGAATTAGCAAATGGCACTTACCAATCGAATCAGCCGTACATCCACCTGTAGCAGTGATGAAGTGCTTTGCTTAATTAAATACCGCGCGAGCCTATCCTCTTTGATTACGCGAAAATTCTAATTAGAGGACGCGACTTAAAAATAAACAAGATTTATTCTGTATGACTCTTAATTTCTAATTTTAAAACTAGCACAAGCCGAAATTTTTTTAGTATTAATTTCCTCTCAGCCAGAGACAAAATACATTGCTTTATTAGCTGCGCGCGAGATTTTCCTCCTCGAAAACGCTGCGGAAGTTGACTTATCACCTTCAGCTCTTTATCTGTTACATTTTCAGTTTCGAACGGCACGTGCTCGTCGCGTACAATTCGCGTGCTCAGCATACATTTACAGTCCTATCAATAGCTCCTTTTCTGTTTATAAAAAGTTATATTTCGAATGTGTTCAGGATTTTACTGGGAGAATACTTGCCCTCTACGAGTCTTCTGTGACCTGTTTGTGACTTTGCTGCGTCCTTTCTGTCCATAAGACCGAATGCCAGTACTCTCACCTTTGACCCTAAAACTTGGTTAAAAAGATAGACTTGCAATTTATAGACCTTTTATTAACTAGCTATACATACCTGTATTTGGTTTCTCATGATCATTGCTAAGGGTTGATGGATCTCATTCTGTTGAAGATCCATCAGATTGTGAAGAATATTCAGTCTCCTGAACAACAATACTCTGATCAATGATTCTGTAGACAACATTTGCCAATGAAGAGCCATCCCTTGTGTGAGACGGTAAAACTGACATCTCAAAGAGGTTGGCCCCCTTCTCTTGGGTTAGAAGAAAACACTGTACCCATCGCTCATAGAATGACTGCCTTGGAACAGACTTGGTACCACTGGGAACAGTGACTGACATCACCAGTATACCAGATTGTTGTTGACCTGAAGGCTGATTACTAAAAGGAAAACAAAAATCAAGTTCAACTGTACTGCAGCACCAGTCTACACACTAATATACAGATTTAACCAAGCCTAAAAGCAGAGCTCCTGATTAAAATAAGTTAACCTTGCTTGAGCCTGCAATCCAATTGAAAACCAGAGCCTGGTCAGCAGTCAACTTCATAAGAACTTGTGACCTCAATAAACTCTACACCTGAGCCTGCGATATGGTCACATGATAATGGTCAGCAGATACCTTGTTTCAACAAGTTTCAATTGATCAATAACATGGATGATGTATGCTCCAAACCAAGGTTGCAAATCCTGGCTGACCTATTATTGGGGTATGGCCGCNAAAAAACAAAAAGAATCGGAAACCCTTCGGCGACTCTACGACGACTTTGCGCAGAATACACGGATTGAAAAAAACAAACGCTTGTTGCCCTAGTCTTAAGCCACGTCTACGCTACACCAGAAAAATTTGAAAACGGGGCTTTCACTCTGAAAACGCATCAAATGTTTTCCGGAAACACTACAGTGGAGGAATTTAAAAACGCAACAATCACCGGTCATTTTGGATTTGTGTTTGAGCAAACCTCGGTCGGGGAAGTCACATGATTATTGTAATGTTATCGTTTTCGAAAAGCTACGTTTTCAAAATATTTTCCGTTCACACTAAAGCGCAAAGCCGGCGTTTTCAAATTCCTCTGGTTTGAAAAGCGTTTTCGAAAAGCTCCGTTTTCGTGACGGAGTAGTGTGGACGGAAGGCCTAACCGTAGAAATAAAGCTGCGTTTTTAAATTTCTCCGGCGAAGTGTGGACGAGGTCCAATGCTTGTGTTTCTTTCAAGGTTTCTGGGCTTTTTTGCATGACAATCAAATTCATACATTATCATATATATTAAGTTATGAACAGATACTGGCAGGGATCTGAGAAAATCTTCTGGTTGTTAATATTTAGCGACGCTTTTTCAAGGATTAAAGGTAAGAGTTAAGATGTATCAGATGCGTCAAGTGAAAGAGATCCCTAATTACCAGAAGGACACTTCATTGGCTGTAACATGGCGTGGTGGGTTACCACAAGTGACGCCTGATAAATTAATAAACAAGTGGAAGGCTTTTAACTCTTCTTAATTTTGTTTTAAATACCACGAATGACAACAAAAGAAGGGCTGAACGTGTAAAAAAACACTTTGATCATTAAATTTTATATTTAATAGTAAAAAAAAAATTCAGGACTTTGCAAGCAGACCCCAGAAAACTCGAAAGATAACATGTCTGAATTTATTTATATAGGAATTCTGTTAAATGTTTCACATTAATAATGAAAAAGAGTTGTGTATTACGAATATTTGAATGTCACATATGAAAATATTTTGACAAAAATAAGAAATAATTTTTCGGTTTCTCTTATGGAATTTATAAACGTTATAAGGAAATCCTCGATGGAACCACTGAAGGTAGACAAATGTTTCAACAGTGTTTCCTTTTCAAAAGTTAATTAGCAACTTCCATTGACTTTCAGACTGTCTTTCTCTTGGCATTATCAACAATATTCAACGCTTCTTTAAGCCAAGACACTTCTGTTTCCGATACAAGCAACTTTCTTCTAATTTCTGTGAATTTCCCACTCTTTTTCTCTAAACTGTTCCTTAAATGTCGGTTCTCTTCAGTCAATGCCAGCATTGTATCATGTAAATCGTTGTAATTTCGCTTAAACTCTTGAAGCGCAAGATTTTGACTCTGGCTTAGATTCCTGGCTTCTTCAAGATCTTTCTGAGTGGCAGCAAGAACGAAAGACAACTCAGAAAACTTTCCTTGGCTGTTGAGGTTTTCTCTGAAAATTTCATTTAATTCAAGACAGAGGACCAGAAGATGTTCGCTTTTTGTCGGATCCTCCTTTGAGTGATTCCTTTCATCGCTTGCGGTTTTGTTGCTGCATTCTGTAAGCTCTTCCCGAAGTTCATTCACAAGGCCTTTATAAGACGCAACTTCGTTTTCTAATGTCTGAATGCGACTTTTTCTTTCGACGTCAAGCTTTTCCCAGTTTTCCAAAGCGTTTTTCAATTCGCGGACTTCTCTCCAATACTCTTCCATTTCAGACTTGAGTTGTTTGCGAATTCTGTCTTTGTCTTGTTCGCTTTTCTCGGTTTTCTTTGTCAACAGTTCCATTTCATTGATCGCTTCAACCGCTTGATCGCTAGCGTTGTTTGCCTCCTCTCTCAGCTTACACAACTCGCTCTGATATTTACTGACAACACTTCTCAAATTTTCCACCTCCTCCCAAGACTTTTCATTCTCTTCTTTATAAGCGTCAATCATACTTTCCAGCTCTTCAATTCGCCTAGTTTTCTCAAATTCATGTTCTTCCATAAATTCAATTTTCTCCTTTAAAATGCTCAATTCAGTTTGGTGTGTTTCAGCCTCAGACTTAAGCTCTTCCTCCAGTTTAAATCTCTCAATAACTTCCTCTTCTAACCTGGATTTAAACATTGCCAACTGATTTTGCATGGAAGATAAATCTTTGCGAGTTATATAAAGTTCTGATTCAAACTCTTCACGTTCAGTTACTCGCCCACAACTGTCACACCGTGCTTGCGAATTTTCCTCACAATTCAACTTCGTTTCTCCATTAATCATATCCGTTGCGTTTACTTCGCTTTCATTTTCTGTGTTTACATGAGATGTAAATCGGTTTGATTGTTCTGTTTTCGTATCACCATTCGTGTTAACATAAGTAGGCTCGCTTTCTTCGGCATTTGAATTAAATTCTACACAATGTGGTAAACCGTGAGAGTTTCCATTCACCAAATGTACCGCCTTGTCTTCATTAAAGGTATCAGCCATGTTAAATTTCGTTTTTTCGGTCTCGACTATGACACTTCCAGGAACAGCTTCACAAAATGGTAGTAGCTTCTCTGGAGTCTTAATTCTAATGATTTCTCGGACATTTTTGCTCCCAGCTGGAGGGGAAGCCAACCTTATCGTAATGTGTGTCATGTTGTTTCACTCCTTCAATCGCTTTCCTCCTCAAACATACGAACAACACAGCACGCAGTACAGAACACAATTCAACTCTTGGCCGTCCTTGGCTGAAATCCAACGTTTTCATCCTCTTTAATGCAAAGAGCGGCTTGAAATTAAAAAATAACCTGCAAACATAAGTCTGCAAATCAATTTGAATTTCAAGTAGTTTTAATGTGAGCGAACACAATCTGAATTAGCAAATGGCACTTACCAATCGAATCAGCCGTACATCCACCTATAGCAGTGATGAAGTGCTTTGCTTAATTAAATACCGCGCGAGCCTATCCTCTTTGATTACGCGAAAATTCTAATTAGAGGACGCGACTTAAAAATAAACAAGATTTATTCTGTATGACTCTTAATTTCTAATTTTAAAACTAGCACAAGCCGAAATTTTTTTAGTATTAATTTCCTCTCAGCCAGAGACAAAATACATTGCTTTATTAGCTGCGCGCGAGATTTTCCTCCTCGAAAACGCTGCGGAAGTTGACTTATCACCTTCAGCTCTTTATCTGTTACATTTTCAGTTTCGAACGGCACGTGCTCGTCGCGTACAATTCGCGTGCTCAGCATACATTTACAGTCCTATCAATAGCTCCTTTTCTGTTTATAAAAAGTTATATTTCGAATGTGTTCAGGATTTTACTGGGAGAATACTTGCCCTCTACGAGTCTTCTGTGACCTGTTTGTGACTTTGCTGCGTCCTTTCTGTCCATAAGACCGAATGCCAGTACTCTCACCTTTGACCCTAAAACTTGGTTAAAAAGATAGACTTGCAATTTATAGACCTTTTATTAACTAGCTATACATACCTGTATTTGGTTTCTCATGATCATTGCTAAGGGTTGATGGATCTCATTCTGTTGAAGATCCATCAGATTGTGAAGAATATTCAATCTCCTGAACAACAATACTCTGATCAATGATTCTGTAGACAACATTTGCCAATGAAGAGCTATCCCTTGTGTGAGACGGTAAAACTGACATCTCAAAGAGGTTGGCCCCCTTCTCTTGGGTTAGAAGAAAACACTGTACCCATCGTTCATAGAATGACTGCCTTGGAACAGACTTGGTACCACTGGGAACAGTGACTGACATCACCAGTATACTAGATTGTCGTTGACCTGAAGGCTGATTACTAAAAGGAAAACAAAAATCAAGTTCAACTGTAATGCAGCACCAGTCTACACACTAATATACAGATTTAACCAAGCCTAAAAGCAGAGCTCCTGATTAAAATAAGTTAACCTTGCTTGAGCCTGCAATCCAATTGAAAACCAGAGCCTGGTCAGCAGTCAACTTCATAAGAACTTGTGACCTCAATAAACTCTACACCTGAGCCTGCGATATGGTCACATGATAATGGTCAGCAGATACCTTGTTTCAACAAGTTTCAATTGATCAATAACATGGATGATGTATGCTCCAAACCAAGGTTGCAAATCCTGGCTGACCTATTATTGGGGTATGGCCGCCATGTTGCACGTCATTGTCATTGCTTTTGTTGTAGGGCACCTGTGCCCATGATCCATGCCACTAGCCATGTTGAACATGAAAAAAGAGTTGCATGGTTTTCTATTTATATGCGTACATGTGGTTCTCTTCCTTTTGTTATGCTGCTGTGCTAAAATCTTGAGACAAGTGGGCTAAATAGAAAGTTGTGATGCTGCAAGGTTATGTTTACCAGGGAGACACACATGGGGTCTAGCCTGTCAGCAGGGTGTCCTAGGTGCTGCAGCACCAGTGGCAAAGCAGCAAAAGATGAGATGCCGAGTGAAGATAGCCAGCAAGAGACTTCCCTGCTCCTGCCTCAGTGCCTATGACAGCCTAATTGAAGACTTCAAAGGCTCTACTTATTACTATTAGACAGGTGAAATTTCAACCCAGGTGAAGTCTTGCTTGAGTTAAACAAAAAAAAACAAAAAAAACGTTTTGACCAAATCTTGGTGTGGAACTATTCCACCATGCGTTTCTTTCCATCAGTAAACTAACCCGCTGGTTTCATTTACTTACATTTGTTTCGACAGTTGAAAGAGAAAAGTATCCACTGTTAAGGCAAAAATCTTGGCAACTAACGGCAGATCTTCATTCCTGATTGTTGCGGGAAAGTACTCATTTATATCATCCACAATGATTGCATCGAAAACTCTAGATGTTGAGAAGTGTATTGAGGCCAGATAGTTCAAAAACTCCTCCCTTGTTTCCAGATAAACCATCTGTATATATTTCAAGGTACCACTTTCTGGCTGAGCTCTTCCTGGAGCTCGCAAAGGAAGTTTGGAGACTTTTTGGGGACAAATGTACAAGACGTGTTTTTCTTCGTCTGCAAAGCTCAGCGCAAGTTCAAAGAGAAGAGACGTTTTACCGCTTTGTGGAGGCCCGCATAACATGAGTTTATCAAACCCTGACGTATTCTTTGAGCCAAAGAGCAAAGATGACGTACTCTCTTGGTGTTTTGTCCTGGATTCACCGCCAGAGGGCTCACTGATCCCAAACAAACGCGCTAACATTTTTCCAGGCAAGACGATTCTTGCATTTTTCACCAGGCGCAAATTGTTCAGCGCTAGAAAATACTGGGTACTAGTATTTTTGAGAAAGTTCACAAGCGCTTTCAACAAGAATTTTAGCCTTTTTGGAAGAAGTATTTTAATATATAGCAGTAAAAATATTGAAAGTACAACATAAAGTTCCATGATTTTTTCTATTATTGAAGAACTGGAGAATATAAGAACAAGAGTAGGGCCTGGTACAAAGTTCGATATTATCACGTGTTGCCTTTCATCCTCCTTCTCTTTCTCTTTGTACGACACGTCTTCAAGATGGCTGCACGAGGTTAGTAAAACACAATTCAGGGAGAATCAATCTCAGAAAATATATAATCACAATGCTTGACTGTTTATTCAATCCTATTTGAGCTGCGTTAAGATCTGGTGACCTATTCTACCTGAATGGATTTTTGGTTCATTGTAATTGCTCGCGTGTTTAATTTTTTGTACTGTGGCTTGAGATTTTGGAGTCTTGTATGGTTTTGCCAATTTATTTCAAGAATTCTCCCTCCAGAGAAGCGTTTGTAAATGGTATAAATTATACGATAAAGGTGCTTGTTAGAGTTCTTCAGTGAGGTAGAATTCGGTTTAAATATCGTGGAGATTTTTATTGTTGCACTTTTAGTTAAGCTTAATTTGTATACAAGGAACTTAGAATACTGGGAGCTTTTGTTTTGTCTAGTTTGCCTGTAAACTAGGATCGATTGAAGGAAACGCTATACCACCTCGAAATTTCTATTCGAACGCCTCAATCAACTGTTGAACACAGAATCTTTATAGCGTGTGAACACAGTTTACTTTTTTCGGTGGAAAATTTTACACTTGAATCGTGTATTGCTGAGCTGCATTCGTTAAGGGTCTAAAAAATAATCAATTAAACCATTTAATGACGTTTTCATTTACTTGCTATACTACTGTACTCTGCTACTATGCCTCGATGCTTTATTTGATTTAGAATAGGTAGCAAAATATTTCCTAGGTAGGCATGTATAGCATAATGTTTTGTGTTGTTTGATCATACCTAATAGTTTTTGTTGCTGTGGCTGTGCCAAGGTTTTGATATCTTGCTCTCTGCCATTCCCTCAAACCATCCTCAGCAACTCAAAAGACCTGATCTACTCAAAGTTACATTCTTGTTAAAAAAATTCTAAATTCAATGCTTTTTGTGGTTCTCGAAAATATACCTTATCAACTGTGCGGAGGGTTGATGAAGATATTTTCTAGGGAGGAATAAAAGTTCCAAAAGCCAAATTTGTTTTGAAGTTAAGTATGATTAATTAGCTGGAATTGCCAGAGAATGTAGGGGAGAACCCTCTGTGTCAGGGCTATCAATGGATATTTTTGCTGGAACTATGCAACATATTCCCCGGGGTTTTTAAAGTCACTATTATTTTCTATCATGTTGGGTTTTCAGCTAAGAATGTGAATGAACATTCAGTTAGAAATGAGTTTTTCACCATAACTATGTTTCAATAGGATTTCAACTTTATGACGTAAACAATATACATGTATAGACAAACTGTCTGTGTACCAGACTGATTTCTTTGTTTTGTCAGGTGCCTGTCTTCTTGTACTGCTGGCCTTCACCATCTGTGCTGATGCTGTCTCTCTCTCTAATGTGCTAAGCATTGAGGACCAAGCTCGATTAAAACAAACCCTCTATAATGCCATGCCATTCAAAGACCTGGAGACTGCAGGATATGCTGTGTTTACTTTAAAGCTTATGAAAGCTGAAGTGCCTCCAACACAGGTATTAAATTGACAACTGGTTGAAAAGTTTATTAACATGCTAATTCGAAGTAGGCATTATTTTACATTATAAATTACATTAACCTGTCTAGGTTTGTACTTAGTTTGTGGGGTTTTACCTCAGTTGAGCTGATGACTTCAGAAAGATGCTACAGAAATCAGTCTTATCTCCACTGAGATTTCTCTCAGCTATTTGAGATTTCTTGACTAAACATGAGATGACATGTGGAATTTAGTATCATCATAATGACCAATAACCAGATAACCAAAAAGTTGCTTTTAAGTGTTAGTTCACATTCTTGTTTAGTAACTGTGGTTTAAATATTTTTATTCCTTCTGTTAAATTTCAACAGGATGTTTGCAAGTTTGCGAAGGATAATGTTGATGGAAGCAGTGTAATGTCACTCTTCTATGCATCAGCCATCAGTAAATATTTAGGAAATTGTAAGGTGTGTATTACTAAGTGAGTTAATTTTTGTCCATTCCTGTCAGCCACAGGTAACATGGAATGAATACAATATGTCATTTGTGGGACATTAACTGATACTGATTGACAGATAGCTTTGATTGATAACTACTTGTAACTAGATATTGATTGTGATTCATTATCAAGTGAAATCAGACTAAGGGCTGCATTTCTTTATCACGTCATGACGTAAGAATTAGAAAGCAAAGTGTTGCACAGAGTTTGTTCACTTTTGTGTACTTTTCAGCATTCTATACATTTTTGGTATTTGTAGCTGGGATTTAACATACATTTATCTCCTTAACTTTCCTTTTAGTTACCAGCTATCAAAGGTGCTGAAGTCACATTATCAGAGGCTGTAAAAGAAGGGTCAGAAATGACTACCTTGTTTTATGCTGTTGCAGCGCAAAATTTTTTAGGACTCAAAGGTGAGAGCAGTGTTATCAGGGGTTTCATTAAATTGATCGGCTGTGAGAACGATTTTGCCCACCTGGTTTGACCGTCTTCGTAAAGAAGTTCAGTTTAAAAACGTTTGTCCGTTTGTGAAAACCAGTTGCCCTCCTTCTGATAATGTAAATAGAACCCCTGTGTTAATTCCATTGGCTAAGTAAAATGAAATAAGTGGAAAATGTTTTTCTCATGCACCATTAATTGGGCTATGGGACTAATAAAGGTCATCTGATATGCAAAGCAGACTTTTGGTCTTATCGCTGTGCCATAGTCTTTTTGTTCTTGTTGCTGCTGTCGGCTTACCATGGCTCCAAGTGGTGGGTAAGAGAAGTGCAACTCATGTTTTAATTGTTATCTGCAACAAAATCTCAGTGCTAATATTACTTTAATTTTTAAATAAAATGTATTTTAAGACTTAGAAGGTTGGAAATATTGCTTCTACTGGTAGATGCCAGGGAGGGATGATGTAAAAGGAACCAGATTAGTTTCAAAGCAGGAAGTTACACTTGTTCATGTACTCTTACTTATAATTAATTTTGATCTGTAGTTCCCCAATATTGTAGACAGCCATGATTGTAATCCTGCTGGAATTTTTTTCCTTGCTGCAGTTGATACTGGTGAAGTGCTCAAGGCAGTGAGGGCAGCCATCAACTCAGATGAAGACAGTATCCTTGGGTAAGGAGAATATTCATCATTCATCATATCTGGGTAATTTTCTAACTGCCCTCTCTTCCCCTCCCAACTCTACCCCCACCCCTTTATCCACACAATCATCTTCCTAGATTCTACCGGTTGGTCTGTGTCTGAGCCCTAGCTGGCCGGGGCCATTGCTTGTGTTCTTGGGCAAGACACTTAACTCTCACAGTGCCTCTCTCCACCCAGGAGTATAGATGGGTACCCGCGAATTTAATGCTGGAGGTAGCCCTGTGATGGACTAGGATCCCTTCCAGGCGGGAGTAGAAATACTCCTAGTCACTCCCTGCTACAGAGAAACTGTGGATGCGTGCCAGCCTGATGGGCTACTTGGCTTGTATACAGACTTCACCTTACTTACATGCACATTGGAAAGTTAGAATTAAATTAAATGTTAAAACATTTTTTATTTTCTATATTATACTCTTTTCAGGGCAGCATATGCCATGCTTACTGCCACAAGGCTACCTAAGGGCACAGATGTGTCTTTTATTACTGAAATGATTGAGGTAATTATTTTTCAATTTTTTAATTATAATTTGCCGTTTATGAATCTGTATTTACAAACTATCAATGTATAAGGCAAGGAAGTTCAGGGGAGCCAATAAGGCTT